ACAAATATTTTAAATATCTTGAATACTTTGTAAATGAAAATTGGAATTGTTCCAAAGAGATCAAATACCGAATAGAAATAGCACGAAATACTTTTCTTAGATACAAAAAAGTGCTTAATAGTCATTATTATTCAAGGAAGTTATTCAAGGAAAAATCGAAGGCCAACGCGGTATTGGTAGGAAACAATTTTCATGCCCGCGAAACGTTCGTCAATGGACACAAATACGAGAGGTTGGCAGCCTTATCAATATAGCTAGATGCAGAGAGCAATACGCAGAAATAGTTAAAAATTTGTAATTGTGTTTATTAAAAGCTAATCAAACAATATAGTATTATGTTATGTTAAAATTATTATTATGTTATAATTATTATTATGTTATAATTAATCAATATAGTATTGAGTTATGTTATATGATCACCAATATTCGAAATCGAATTGGCAAACAAAGCAGAAGATATATAAAAATATAAAATAATAATGGATAAAACAATTCCTACACCGATGGTATATTTTCAAAATGCATATGCATATGTTGTGCAAAACTTTACGAAAGCAGTGCAACAAATCAAACTGGCCACCATCGAGCGCGATATATAACAGGAACTGAAGCGCTGTAAGAAAACTTATCAGAAAGAAGAGGAACGTTACGTTCAGCAGATGTTGGTCGAAAATCCAGTTATTGTCGAACGTCGTGGACTAACCACCAACACCACCTCAGGTTCAGAAGAACCACTTAGTCGTGAGGAACAGTTGCGACCTCAGCGTGCTGAATCTTGCCGGCGATCACGCATTAATATTAAAGTCAATAAAGCAAAGATTAAGTATCGGCATAAAAATATTTCGGAGAAATATTCACAAAATGAATAAATGTTGGAACACCTCCGGAACATCATTAGCCAAGCGGAGTCACATTAAATTAAGCCCACAGCAATTCTAAGATTTATAAATAGTCTAAAATTGTCCTAGTTGGGTCTATAGGCGCACAATAGATCTTATAGGTCGGGGTGCTTTAACAGCTTATTACTTAATAATAATAATAATATATTTTCAAAATACATATGCATATGTTGTGCAAAACTTTTCGCCAGCAATACAACAAATTAAACTGGCCACCATCGAGCGCAATATGGCAGAGGAACTGAAGCGCTATAAGCAAACGTATCAGGAGGAAGAGGAACGTTACGTTCAGCAGATATTGGTCGAAAATTCAATTATTGCCGATCGTAGTGGACTAACCACCAACACCACCTCAGGTTAAGAAGAACTACTTAGTCGTGAGGAATAGTTGCGACCTCAGCGTGCTGAATCTTGCCGACGATCACACATTAATAATAAAATCAATAAAGCAAAGATTAAGAATCGACATAAATATATTTCGGAGAAATATTCAAAAAACGTGCAAATGTTGGAACACCTCCGGAACGTCATTAGCCAAGCGGAATCACATTCAATTCGTAATAAACTAAGTGAAACGGCATTGAGGTAATTACGAGCTGGATATGGTTTGGAGTGAATTTAGACAGACAATGGCTAATAATTTGTAAATAATGCTTAATCTAATTAATTATAAATTATTTTTACTAAAACACAAGTATGATTTAATATAAAATATATAATATCTAATATACTCGTATTAATTTTATATATTTTGAAATATAAATTATGAGTACAAAGAAAAAACGTAAAGTCGGCAGGTTTCTTCTTTAATCCAGTTACATGAACTTCAGATTTTTAGGAGTAGATAATGTTAGTCAATTATCATAATTCCACAAGAAATAAACAAAATAGTTGCAGAGTAAGAGACCCGAAAGAAGAGAAACGTTACGTTCAGCAGATGTTGGTCGAAAATCCAGTTATTGTCGAACGTCGTGGACTAACCACCAACACCACTTCAGGTTCAGAAGAACCACTTAGTCGTGAGGAACAGTTGCGACCTCAGCGTGCTGAATCTTGCCGGCGATCATGCATTAATATTAAAATCAATAAAGCAAAGATTAAATATCGGCATAGATATATTTTTGGGAAATATTCACAAAATGTACAAATGTTGGAACACCTCCGGAACATCATTAGCCAAGCGGAATCACATTTAACTCGTAATGATCTAAGTAAACGAGCTGGATATGGTTTAGAGTGAATTTAGGCAGACAATGGCTAATAATTTGTAAATAAAGCTTAATCTAATAAATTATAAATTATTTTTACTAAAACACAAGTATGATTTAATATTAAATATATTATATCTAATATACTCGTATTAATTTTATATATTTTGAAATATAAATTATGAGTACAAAGAAAAAACGTAAAGTCGGTAGGTTTCTTCTTTAATCCAGTTACATGAGCTTCAAATTTTTAGGAGTAGATAATGTTAGTCAATTATCATAATTCCACACAAACTAAACAAAATAGTTGCAGAGTAAGAGACCCGAAAGAAGAGAAACGTTACGTTCAGCAGATGTTGGTCGGAAATCCAATTATTGCCGATCGTCGTGGACCAACAACCAACACCACCTCAGGTTCAGAAGAACCACTTAGTCGTAAGGAACAGTTGCGACCTCAGCGTGCTGAATCTTATCGGCGATCACGCATTAATAATAAAATCAATAAAGCAAAGATTAAGTATCGGCATAAATATATTTCGGAGAAATATTCAAAAAACGTGCAAATGTTGGAACACCGGAACATCATAAGACATGCGGAATCACATTTAATTCGTAATGAACTAAGTAAACGGCATTGAGGCAATTACGAGCTGGATATGGTTTGGAGTGAATTTAGACAGACAATGGCTAATAATTTGTAAATAAAGCTTAATCTAATAAATTATAAATTATTTTTACTAAAACACAAGTATGATTTAATATAAAATATATTATATCTAATATACTCGTATTAATTTTATATATTTTGAAATATAAATTATGAGTACAAAGAAAAAACGTAAAGTCGGTTGGTTTCTTCTTTAATCCAGTTAGATGAGCTTCAAATTTTTAGGAGTAGATAATGTTAGTCAATTATCATAATTCCACACAAACTAAACAAAATTGTTGCAGAGTAAGAGACCCGAAAGAAGAGAAACGTTACGTTCAGCAGATGTTGGTCGGAAATCCAATTATTGCCGATCGTCGTGGACCAACAACCAACACCACCTCAGTTCAGAAGAACCACTTAGTCGTGAGGAACAGTTGCGACCTGCGACCTCAGCGTGCTGAATCTTATCGGCGATCACGCATTAATAATAAAATCAATAAAGCAAAGATTAAGTATCGGCATAAATATATTTCGGAGAAATATTCAAAAAACGTACAAATGTTGGTACACCGGAACATCATTAGCCAAGCGGAATCACATTTAATTAGTAACGAACTAAGTAAACGGCATTGAGGCAATTACGAGCTGGATATGGTTTGGAGTGAATTTAGACAGACAATGGCTAATAATTTGTAAATAAAGCTTAATCTAATAAATTATAAATTATTTTTACTAAAACACAAGTATGATTTAATATAAAATATATTATATCTAATATACTCGTATTAATTTTATATATTTTGAAATATAAATTATGAGTACAAAGAAAAAACGTAAAGTCGGTAGGTTTCTTCTTTAATCCAGTTACATGAACTTCAAATTTTTAGGAGTAGATAATGTTAGTCAATTATCATAATTCCACAAGAAATAAATAAAATAGTTGCAGAGTAAGAGACCCGAAAGAAGAGAAACGTTACGTTCAGCAGATGTTGGTCGAAAATCCAGTTATTGTCGAACGTCGTGGACCAACAACCAACACCACCTCAGGTTCAGAAGAACCACTTAGTCGTAAGGAACAGTTGCGACCTCAGCGTGCTGAATCTTGCCGGCGATCACGCATTAATAATAAAATCAATAAAGCAAAGATTAAGTATCGGCATAAATATATTTCGGAGAAATATTTAAAAAATGTACAATTGTTGGAACACCTCCGGAACATCATTAGCCAAGCGGAATCACATTTAATTCATAATGTACTAAGTGAAACGCCATTGAGACAGTTACGAGCTGGACATGGTTTGGAGTGAATTTAGACCGACATACTAAATTTTACTAAGTTTACATAGTTATATAGACAAAATTATAAAAATAATAATGGATCACACAATTACTCTACCTATTATATGTTTTCAAATGAAGATTATAGGTGCGGTAGAAAGTGATTCCTCTCGACTCTGTCATGAGGAGAAGGAAACATCAGAACATCTTCTATGCAACCTGCCCAGCGGCTGCAAGGCGTAGATTCGACTACCTTGGAAGCGCCACCCTAGTCCCAAATCAAATAGGTGAAATTAAGCCCACAGCAATTCTAAGATTTATAAATAGTCTAAAATTGTCCTAGTTGGGCCTATAGGCGCACAATAGATCTTATAGGTCGGGGTGCTTTAACAGCCTATTACTTAATAATAATAATAATATATTTTCAAAATTCATATGCAAATGTTGTGCAAAACTTTTCGCCAGCAATACAACAAATTAAACTGGCCACCATCGAGCGCAATATGTCAGAGGAACTGAAGCGCTATAAGAAAACGTATCACAAAGAAGAGGAACGTTACATTCAGCAGATATTGGTCGAAAATTCAATTATTGCCGATCGTAGTGGACTAACCACCAACACCACCTCAGGTTAAGAAGAACTACTTAGTCGTGAGGAATAGTTGCGACCTCAGCGTGCTGAATCTTGCCGACGATCACACATTAATAATAAAATCAATAAAGCAAAGATTAAGAATCGACATAAATATATTTCGGAGAAATATTCAAAAAACGTGCAAATGTTGGAACACCTCCGGAACGTCATTAGCCAAGCGGAATCACATTCAATTCGTAATAAACTAAGTGAAACGGCATTGAGGTAATTACGAGCTGGATATGGTTTGGATTGAATAATGCATAATCTAATTAGTTATAAATTATTTTTACGAAAAGAAAAGTGTGATTTAACATAATATATATTATATCTAATATATTATATTTATATATTTTAAAATACAATTGATAAATACAAAACAAACATATAAAGTCTTTTCATTTTTCATATAATCTAAATTACTAAAACAATTTTATCAGATACAAAAAATACTTTCGCACTTCTTCAATAAAGGATATGACTTCATCTGTTGCATGAGTTCTCACAGGTTTTGCAAGTAACAAAGTAACATATCTATAATCAAGCTTCAATTAATTTTTGATTTTTTGTTGATGGATTAAGGATATCATCACATTCATAATATATATGGTTTTTTAGCTATATTCTACTTCTGGGATAAGTGCTTGAAATTATTTATAATATTTATTAAATTTGTTTAATTCGATTCATTTTAAATCGAATATTGTATTTATTTATTTCATAATACTTAACTTAGTTTAAACAATCTAAAGACTATAACAATATAAAATCATATCTATACAATAATGTATAGTACAAATTTATAATTTATATAATATTTTTAACAAAATTTATAATTAATAAAAAAGAATATATTTATATGTATGCCACTTAATTTTGTTTGGTATAAAAATTGAAATGAAAAAATAATTGTATTAAGAAATACGGGAAATATATTAAAAATTATATAAATTTATAGTGTAAAATTCTGGCTTCATCAATAAATTATTTTCCAATATATATTTGTTTTTGCATTTTTTATATACTATAAATACTTGGCATTTTTTAAAAGAATTTTAATGCAATTCGTAGCTAAAGAATATTTTAAGGACCTCAAAGAATCCTCTATATTGGATTACAGAGTGAAAAGTATTTCATAAAATAAATAAACAAAAGATCAGCTATTTTATTTCGACGCAGACTCATCAAATGCTCATATTAATTATTGCTTTCCTGAAAACTACACGTGGTTTATGATCGTTTGAGATCATTTTTTTGTCACTGATTTGTCAAACAGTACTCGTACTTTGGCATCAATTTTGCTTTCGAAAAAGTGGTCATCCTACATATCAAGACCAAGATATGTAGGTGCTCCCACACTATAGGTAGTTCCGACCAAAATGGCACTAAAAATGATTCGAAAAATTATTAAAAATTTTTAGTGCTGCGTTGACTGAGAAGAAGACTGTTTTTAATAAACAAGAATTAAAGGAATAATAATAAACACTTATATTGTTTCTTTTCCTGCGACTCAAATTCCACGGTATTTGGAGCAGATTTTGGGTTAGTCTCTGAAAAGACTAGTGTTCTCTTATTTTTATGAACTTGACTGCCATCCTTAAGATATATAACACTTTTATAATATACATACATATTTTTCTAAATAACATTTTACCAAATAATTTGTACTAAATCTCATTATTAAATTGATTAAATTGATTAATAAATTGAATTTTTGGCTGACTAATTTCATATTATATAAAGCTGATATAAAAAAAACCTCGTTAGTGATATATATCAGATATCAGTATATATCTGATATCCTACATAGATAGAAAATCACTCAACAAATACTTAGGATATATTAGTTTCAAAAACATCTTGTAATAATACAGACTGTGAACATAAAACGAGTCGTAAGATAATGCAAACCATTAGAAGACAACAGCAAAATTATGAAGAATAAATTTAATTAATAAAAAATGGAAAATCATTTAAATTATTGTCAGAATCATAAAATATATCAATGACAAAAAAAATAAACAAAATTTTTACAGAAAAAATTAATATGAAAAACATAAACGAAATTTGAAAGTCGTCGGTCTGTCTGCTCTCATGGATGTCCTCCTCAATGGGCAAAGCAGCATATGCTTTAAACTATAATAAAAACAAATTCATTGTACATTTCATATTTGACTTTCTTATCAATTTTGTTTGTATTTTTCCGGATTTCATTAGCATCTCTTAATGGCAACCCTGCTGTATATACGAATAAGTACAATGTATATAATATATCCCATTGAAAAAAAATATGAAAAATAACTGCAAATACAATTCACACAAAAATGATTGAAAATCTACTTTATTATAGTTTACACGCTGATTATAGATACATTTTTGATTATTTACAGCACGTTTTTACTTAAATTGTTGTTGCAAGAACTCTTGTATTCTATGGTTTTTAAAGTTACTTGTAACGTGAGTCAATATAATTCAGAGCACAGCTGAATTTCAATAGCAAAGAGTAGAGGATGATTTTGTTTACTTCCAGATAAATGCAAAATTAGTAAAAAATAATTTCACTTTACAACAAAAGAACATTTTTATAAAGATAGAATAACGCCTTAGTTTTTCAAATTTTATTCATTTTGTAAGTAATCCTTTTGCAGGTACATTTAGAAATAGTCTTCATAGGTTTAAACAATTGACAAAGAAATATTTTTGACGTCATATGAAAAATGAACACACTTCATAGCTACCTGATCCTGGCAAGTATAACCAGGCACGCAATATATACAATGAATTCATAAATGCAAAGACTCTAAAAATAAGGTCATAAGGTCAAAAATATTGCATGCAAATTGGTTTGAGTGGTTGTATTATATCAAAGAACAAAAGTAATTATATCAGCATTTGTCATTGAATTGATTATCAGAATTTCACAAACAATAACAAAATAGGTGCAGAATAACAGACTGGACTCAAGCAAAAATACAGTATAAAAGCACGCTCACTATTGAAATAAAGCATCAGTAGACGAAGCAATCTGCACGAAGGCACATATAGCAAATAACAAAATTTGTAAATTACATATATAAAAATATATATAAAATTATATATATAAATATATAATCGTGTGGAGTCGACAGTGGCTGTGTGCAAATTGGAGCTTTGAGGCAGAAAATATTTGCTATTTGATATTTTGAATTGTTTTTTTTTTTTGTATTTTTATTAATTAATTAAAAAGGAGAAGAAGATGAATTGCTTAAAAAAACTGCCCATGCGTTTGATCGCCAACGCCGTACAACGTCAGCAACAATGTATGTCCACTGGCGCTGGTTCCATGCCTCCACTAACCTTCTTGACTGACGATGAGAAGATGATGAAGGAAACCGTTGCTAAATTGGCTCAGGAACAAATTGCTCCATTGGTTAAGAAAATGGATGAAGAACACAAATTTGATCCATCCGTTGTAAAAGCAGTGTTTGAAAACGGTTTGATGGGTATTGAAATCGATTCCGAATTGGGTGGAAGTGGATGCAATTTCCTGACAACAATTTTGACTGTTGAAGAATTATCTAAAGTTGATCCTGCCGTTGCTGCTTTCGTAGATATTCACAATACATTGGTCAACTCTTTAATGATCAAAGTTGCCAGTAAAGCACAAAAGGAGAAATATTTACCAAAATTAGCTCAAGAATATGCTGGAAGTTTTGCTTTAACTGAACCTGGTGCAGGTTCTGATGCTTTTTCATTGAAGACTGTTGCCAAAAAAGATGGTGATCACTATGTGATAAATGGTACCAAAATGTGGATCTCCAATTCAGATATAGCTGGAGTATTCTTAGTATTTGCCAATGCCAAACCTGAAGCTGGCTATCGCGGTATTACAACATTCATTGTTGATCGTAACACACCCGGTTTGGTAGTCAATAAACCAGAAGACAAATTGGGCATTCGTGCCTCTGGCACTTGTATGATCAATTTCGATAATGTGCGTATACCTGCAGAAAATCTTTTGGGAGAATTCGGTTATGGCTACAAATACGCAGCGGGTTTCCTTAATGAAGGCCGCATTGGTATTAGCGCTCAGATGCTTGGATTGGCACAAGGTTGTTTCGATGCCACGATACCATATCTGTTGGAACGTAAACAATTTGGTTCAGAAATCTTTAATTTCCAATCAATGCAACATCAAATCGCCACTGTTGCCACTGAAATTGAAGCTGCTCGCTTATTAACATATAACGCAGCTCGTTTAGTTGAAGCAGGTGCACCTTTCCATAAAGAAGCAGCCATGGCTAAATATTATGCTTCAGAAGTAGCACAACGTGCTACAATCAAATGTATTGACTGGATGGGAGGTGTTGGTTTCACACGCGATTTCCCACAAGAGAAATTCTACCGTGATGTTAAGATTGGCGCCATCTATGAAGGTACCACCAACATGCAATTGAGCACAATCGCTAAGCAAATCAAGAAAGATTATTCATCATAAGTGCTGGAAAATATCTGACAACTGAGCGAGTATTGTCGGTTTTGTACATAAAAAGCAAAATAATTTTAAAAGTTCTTCATAGTTTTGTATATCGTAATGTTGTATAATTAAGTATAATTTAAGTATAGTTGTATAATTACAACTCTGTAATTATTAGTTGTAATACATATTGAATAAATAGGAAGTCAGTCGAAGTCAGGCTGTCATAAGGTAAAGACCTATTGTTTTACTTAGATATATAAACTCAGTTGGTTATATAAAATATAACATGGTGTCAGGTGATGAAAAAGAAATAGAAAAAGAAATTAAACATAATAAAATGAGTGGAAATAGTCAAATTTTTATTACAACGCTACCGCCGTTAAATATAAGGTCAACTAATCTGGCTCAAGAATGGAAAAGTTAGAGCAAGCAGTTCCATATTTTTATGTTTGCAACGAATTTAGAAGAACAACAAGAACGTCGCAAAGTTGCACTTTTACTGCACCGCTTGGGGGCAGATTGTATTGACATATTTAATTCATTTAACATGGATATAGAAGAAGTAAAATTAGAAAATGTGTTAAAAAAGTTCAGTGAATACTTTATTCCAAAAGCTAACGTGGCTATGGAACGGTACAAATTCTTTACGCGCCAACAGAACTCAGAAGAAACTATAAGCATTGAGTAAGAATAATATTTTTACTCAATGCTATAGGCGAATACGCAACAGCGCTACAAAACTTGAGCACTACATGTGAGTTTAAAGATCTGCGTGAAGATTTGGTAAGAGATATATTTATTTGTGGCTTATCCCTCAACTTTAAACATATCAAAGAACGTCTTTTGAGTGAAGGTGATATTAAATGGGGTAAAGCGTTGGAAATAGCAAAAAATATTGAAATTGCACGACAAAATGCAACAACAATACTGAAAACAGTAAATAAAACGTGGTTGCTGGGCTAAAAAAACAACGGATTGCAAGACCCCTTTCGGTACAACAAAAACATAGTAAAAAAGAGTGTAAAAAGTGTGGCCAATTACATAAATTCAAATGTCCGGCCGATGGAGTGATTTGCCATATATGTAAAAAGCCAAATCATTATGCAAAAATGTGCTTTAGTCGTTCATCAGTGCAGCAGCAGCAGCAGCAGCAGCAGCAACAACAACAGTACCGTAAAAGCCGATATATAAAAAACGTGTCTGAAGAAACAAAATTATTTGATGACGATTTATTTGTTGGAACAATAATATAGCAGTTGAGTTAAATCTAATTAAAATAGTAAACGCAGTAAGTTGTAATAATAAAGTAGAAATAAACAATTGTAACGAATTAGACATCTTTGGTAAATATTCAGACGTGTTCAATGGTCTTGGTCAGCTCAAAAATAAGTGTAAATTGGAAATCAGAGACAATAGTACACCAGTTGTTGATGTACAACATAGAGTGCCCTTTAGTCTACTTGAACCACTTAAAAAAGAGTTACAAAGTTATGAAGGAATTAGAAGTTATAACTGAAGTTACTGAACCAACTGAGTGGGTAAGTTCAATAGTGATAGTTACTAAGCAAAATGGCAATATCCGTTTATGCTTAGATCCTCGTAATTTAAATAAAGCTATTGTGAGGCCAAGATTTTCATTTCCTAATTTAGATGAGTGTAGATCGCAGATGGCTGGTTCAAAAGTTTTCAGTTCTCTGGACGCAAGTTCAGGATTCTGGATGGTGCCCTTGGATGAAAATTCTTCAAAGTTGTGTACTTTCAACACTCCTTTTGGTCGATTTAGATTTTCACGTCTACCATTTGGTATCAACGCAGCACCAGAAATATTCCATGGAGAAATGGTTCGTCTTTTTGGTGATATGAAAGGAGTTATAATTTATTTAGATGATTTCCTTATTTATGCGAAATCAATAAAAGAGCATAATGATATTTTGTATAAGGTCTTGAAGAGAGCAACAGAAGTAGGTCTTCGTTTCAACAAAAGTAAATCAAAACTTTTTCAAACTAATATAAAATTCATTGGACATATTTTCAATGAAGATGGTATTAAACCAGACACTGATAAAATAAGAGCAATTACGGAATTTCCTACACCCGCTAATAGCGAAGATGTCCAACGTTTTCTAGGTATGATTAATTATTTAGGTTCATTTATTCAGAATTTGTCAACAAAAAACTTCACCTTAGAAATTTATTAAAAAAAGATGTTATTTGGGACTGGGGTAAAGCTCAAGAGGAAACATTTAATAATTTAAAAAAAGAAATCACAAAAGCTCCAGTTTTAACATATTTTGATGTTACTAAACAGTTGACTCTGTTAGCAGACGCATCAAAGGTAGCTATGGGGGCTGTAATTATGCATGAAAGAAATCCAATTGCTTATGCATCTACGTCTTTAACGGAGTGCCAGATAAATTATGCGCAAATAGAAAAGGAATTATTTGCTATTCTTTTTGGTTGCACTCGATTTCATCAATATGTGTACGGTCACAATATTATTGTAGAAACCGACCTAAACCATTAGTATCTCTCTTTAATAAACCTCTACATCAAATACCTTCAAGACTGCAAAGATTTATGCTTAGATTACTGGCATATGATTTAACAGTAATTTATAAACCAGGAAAACATTTATATGTCGCTGATGCATTATCTCGCGCACCTTTAAAGTCTGAATCATTTACAGATATTGATAAAGATATAGACTTTCATTGTCATTCAATAGCTTCTCAAATTGCTTTACCGAGAGATGATATTGAAGTTTTAAAACAGTTCATAAAAAACGATGAGACATGTCAAAAACTTTTAAAATGCTTAAAGGAAGGCTGGCCCGCATCAAAGAAATTGTGTGACTTAGATATTAGCCCGTATTTTAGTATCAAAGATAGTATTCATGAAATTGAAGGACTATTACTAAAAAATAATAGAGTAATTATTCCAAAAAATTATAGAACAAAAATGTTATCTCGATTACATGAAGGTCACTTAGGGATTCAAAGATGTCAAAGTTTGGCAAGAGAATCAATTTTTTAGCCAAATATTAATAATGATATTTATAATTTAGTATCTAGTTGCGAAATTTGTATAAAATTCAGGAACTCTAATCCCAAAGAAGACTTGCTAAGTCACGAAGTAATTTCAATTCCTTGGTTCAAAGTAGGTATAGACCTTTTCGAATTTAACAAAAGAACTTACTTACTAGTAGTAGATTATTTTTCCACATATATTGAGATTGAATGGTTAAACTCGGGTTCTTCAAATTTAGCAGTTGTAACAAAATTGAAAAGCACATTTTCACGTCATAGAATACCAATGTATTTAATATCAGACAATGGCCCGCCATTTAATTCTCTCGATTTCAAAAATTTTTGTGTTGACTGGGGTATGGATCATATCACGTCGAGTCCATATTTACCAAGGTCAAATGGTCTTGCTGAAAGATCAGTACAAACTATTAAAAAGTTACTTAATAAATGTCTAGAAACGGGAGCAGATTACTATACAGCTTTGCTTCAGTATCGTGCGTACCCTAAAAGTAATTTTGCTAATCCAGCTGAACTTTTAATGGCTAGAAAACTCAGAACGAAATTACCATCATTGTCTAGTAATTTAAAGTCTAAATTGCCCAACAAAGTAAAAGAAAATAATACTTATTCAAAAACAAATCAAAATTCGTCACAAAATAATATAAGAGCCTCAAAAACTCTAAAGCCTGTAGAGATAGGAGAAAAAGTATATTTTAAAAAAAATTCTAGGTCAGTATGGATTCCAGGAAGACTAGTAGAAAGTTGTAAACAGCCTAGATCATTTTTAGTTGAAGATTTAAGTGGAGTAGAGTATAGAAGAAATAGGCAACATATCACATTTAATTCGGAATCACATTTAATTCGTAATGTACTAAGTGAAACGGCATTGAGGCAATTACGAGCTGGATATGATTTGGAGTGAATTTAAACGGACAATGGCTAATAATATGCAAATAATGCTTAATCTAATTAATTATAAATTATTTTTACTAAAACACAAGTGTGATTTAATATAAAATATGTTATATCTAATATACTCGTATTAATTTTATATATTTTGAAATATAAATTATGAGTACAAAGAAAAAACATAAAGTCGGTAGGTTTTTCCTTTAATCCAGTTACATGAACTTCAGATTTTTAGGAGTAGGAAACGTTAGTCAATTATTATAATTCCACAAGAAATAAACAAAATAGTTGCAGAATAAGAGACCCGAAAGAAGAGGAACGTTACGTTCAGCAGATGTTGGTCGAACATCCAATTATTGTCGAACGTCGTGTACTAACCACCAACACCACCTCAGGTTCAGAAGAACCACTTAGTCGTGAGGAACAGTTGCGACCTGCGACCTCAGCGTGCTGAATCTTGCCGGCGATCACGCATTAATAATAAAATCAATAAAGCAAAGATTTAGTATCGGCATAAATATATTTCGGAGAAATATTCAAAAAATGTACAAATGTTGGAACACCTCCGGAACATCATTAGCCTAGCGGAATCACATTTAATTCGTAATGTACTAAGTGAAACGGCATTGAGGCAATTACGAGCTGGATATGATTTGGAATGAATTTAAACGGACAATGGCTAATAATATGCAAATAATGCTTAATCTAATTAATTATAAATTATTTTTACTAAAACACAAGTGTGATTTAATATAAAATATATTATATCTGATATACTCGTATTCATTTTATATATTTTGAAATATAAATTATGAGTACAAAGAAAAAACATAAAGTCGGTAGGTTTTTCCTTTAATCCAGTTACATGAACTTCAGATTTTTAGGAGTAGGAAACGTTAGTCAATTATTATAATTCCACAAGAAATAAACAAAATAGTTGCAGAATAAGAGACCCGAAAGAAGAGGAACGTTACGTTCAGCAGATGTTGGTCGAAAATCCAATTATTGTCGAACGTCGTGGACTAACCACCAACACCACCTCAGGTTCAGAAGAACTACTTAGTCGTGAGGAACAGTTGCGACCTGCGACCTCAGCGTGCTGAATCTTGCCGGCGATCACGCATTCATAATAAAATCAATAAAGCAAAGATTAAGAATCGGCATAAATATATTTCGGAGAAATATTCAAAAAATGTACAAATGTTGGAACACCTCCGGAACATCATTAGCCTAGCGGAATCACATTTAATTCGTAATGTACTAAGTGAAACGGCATTGAGACAATTACGAGCTGGATATGATTTGGAGTGAATTTAAACGGACAATGGCTAATAATATGCAAATAATGCTTAATCTAATTAATTATAAATTATTTTTACTAAAACACAAGTGTGATTTAATATAAAATATATTATATCTAATATACTCGTATTCACGTTACGTTCAGCAGATGTTGGTCGAAAATCCAATTATTGTCGAACGTCGTGGACTAACCACCAACACCACCTCAGGTTCAGAAGATCCACTTAGTCGTGAGGAACAGTTGCGACCTGCGACCTCAGCGTGCTGAATCTTGCCGGTGATCACGCATTAATAATAAAATCAATAAAGCAAAGATTTAGTATCGGCATAAATATATTTCGGAGAAATATTCAAAAAATGTACAAATGTTGGAACACCTCCGGAACATCATTAGCCTAGCGGAATCACATTTAATTCATAATGTACTAAGTGAAACGGCATTGAGGCAATTACGAGCTGGATATGATTTGGAGTGAATTTAAACGGACAATGGCTAATAATATGCAAATAATGCTTAATCTAATTAATTAAAAATTATTTTTACTAAAACACAAGTGTGATTTAATATAAAATATATTATATCTAATATACTCGTATTCATTTTATATATTTTGAAATATAAATTATGAGTACAAAGAAAAACCATAAAGTCGGTAGGTTTTTTCTTTAATCCAGTTACATGAACTTCAGATTTTTAGGAGTAGGAAACGTTAGTCAATTTTTATAATTCCACAAGAAATAAACAAAATAGTTGCAGAATAAGAGACCCGAAAGAAGAGGAACGTTACGTTCAGCAGATGTTGATCGAAAATCCAATTATTGTCGAACGACGTGTACTAACCACCAACGCCACCTCAGGTTCAGAAGAACCACTTAGTCGTGAGGAACAATTGCGACCTGCGACCTCAGCGTGCTGAATCTTGCCGGCGATCACGCATTAATAATAAAATCAATAAAGCAAAGATTTAGTATCGGCATAAATATATTTCGGAGAAATATTCAAAAAATGTACAAATGTTGGAACACCTCCGGAACATCATTAGCCTAACGGAATCACATTTAATTCGTAATGTACTAAGTGAAGCGGCATTGAGGCAATTACGAGCTGGATATGATTTGGAGTGAATTTAAACGGACAATGGCTAATAATATGCAAATAATGCTTAATCTAATTAATTATAAATTATTTTTACTAAAACACAAGTGTGATTTAATATAAAATATATTATATCTAATATACTCGTATTCATTTTATATATTTTGAAATATAAATTATGAAATAAACAAAATAGTTGCAGAATAAGAGACCCGAAAGAAGAGGAACGTTACGTTCAGCAGATGTTGGTCGAAAATCCAATTATTGTCGAACGTCGTGGACTAACCACCAACACCACCTCAGTTTCAGAAGAACCACTTAGTCGTGAGGAACAGTTGCGACCTGCGACCTCAGCGTGCTGAATCTTGCCGGCGATCACGCATTAATAATAAAATCAATAAAGCAAAGATTTAGTATCGGCATAAATATATTTCGGAGAAATATTCAAAAAATGTACAAATGTTGGAACACCTCCGGAACATCATTAGCCTAGCGGAATCACATTTAATTCGTAATGTACTAAGTGAAACGGCATAGAGGCAATTACGAGCTGGATATGATTTGGAATGAATTTAAACGGACAATGGCTAATAATATGCAAATAATGCTTAAGCTAATTAATTATAAATTATTTTTACTAAAACACAAGTGTGATTTAATATAAAATATATTATATCTAATATACTCGTATTAATTTTATATATTTTGAAATATAAATTATGAGTACAAAGAAAAAACATAAAGTCGGTAGGTTTTTCCTTTAATCCAGTTACATGAACTTCAGATTTTTAGGAGTAGGAAACGTTAGTCAATTATTATAATTCCACAAGAAATAAACAAAATAGTTGCAGAATAAGAGACCCGAAAGAAGAGGAACGTTACGTTCAGCAGATGTTGGTCGAAAATCCAATTATTGTCGAACGACGTGGACTAACCACCAACACCACCTCAGGTTCAGAAGAACCACTTAGTCGTGAGGAACAGTTGCGACCTGCGACCTCAGCGTGCTGAATCTTGCCGGCGATCACGCATTAATAATAAAATCAATAAAGCAAAGATTTAGTATCGGCATAAATATATTTCGGAGAAATATTCAAAAAATGTACAAATGTTGGAACACCTCCGGAACATCATTAGCCTAGCGGAATCACATTTAATTCGTAACGTACTAAGTGAAACGGCATAGAGACAATTACGAGCTGGATATGATTTGGAATGAATTTAAACGGACAATGGCTAATAATATGCAAATAATGCTTAATCTAATTAATTATAAATTATTTTTACTAAAACACAAGTGTGATTTAATATAAAATATATAATATCTGATATACTCGTATTAATTTTATATATTTTGAAATATAAATTATGAGTACAAAGAAAAAACATAAAGTCGGTAGGTTTTTCCTTTAATCCAGTTACATGAACTTCAGATTTTTAGGAGTAGGAAACGTTAGTCAATTATTATAATTCCACAAGAAATAAACAAAATAGTTGCAGAATAAGAGACCCGAAAGAAGAGGAACGTTACGTTCAGCAGATGTTGGTCGAAAATCCAATTATTGTCGAACGTCGTGGACTAACCACCAACGCCACCTCAGGTTCAGAAGAACCACTTAGTCGTGAGAAACAGTTGCGACCTGCGACCTCAGCGTGCTGAATCTTGCCGGCGATCACGCATTCATAATAAAATCAATAAAGCAAAGATTTAGTATCGGCATAAATATATTTCGGAGAAATATTCAAAAAATGTACAAATGTTGGAACACCTCCGGTACATCATTAGCCTAGCGGAATCACATTTAATTCGGTAATGTACTAAGTGAAAGGCATTGGAGCAATTACGAGGCTGGATATAGATCTCTGGAGTGAATTTAAACGGACAATGGCTTAATATATGCAAATATATCTTAATCTAACTTAATTATAATTAATTTTTACTAAAACACAAGTGTGGATCTAAATAAAATTATTATAATTCTAATATATCGCTATTCACACGTTACGGTATCAGCAGTTTAGATACGAAAATCCAATTATTGTCGAACGTCGTGGACTAACCACCAACGTCACCTCAGGTTCAGAAGAACCACTTAGTCGTGAGAAACAGTTGCGACCTGCGACCTCAGCGTGCTGAATCTTGCCGGCGATCACGCATTCATAATAAAATCAATAAAGCAAAGATTTAGTATCGGCATAAATATATTTCGGAGAAATATTCAAAAAATGTACAAATGTTGGAACACCTCCGGAACATCATTAGCCTAGCGGAATCACATTTAATTCGTAATGTACTAAGT